CCCCAACTAGGTCATTCCAGCCAGGGCTTTGCTGAGCAGGGCCTTAAAAGCCTCCAAGAATGGAGATTCCAAAACCTCTCTAGGAAACTTGTTCCAGTGCTTCACCACCCTCCTCCTGATATTGTATCTAATTAACATCTTGGGCTTGTGTGTTCGTTCCTCAAGATACTTCACAGATTTTTAGAAAAACAGAATGATTCCTAGAAGTTAAAACTTTCTTCATAAAAAATGTAAGAATGTTGAGAGTGTTCCTCACACTCACAAAAACTTTTAATGTACTAGCGCTGTGTTCCTTTTTTTACTTCTAAGGAATAAAAGAATTTAAAAATACCAAATCTTATTTAAGTGACTTGTCTTGAAGGTAGTGTACAATATAAGTAAATATGAATCCTGATTAAATCATTAGTTCCTTAAAGATATATATATTAGACTTTGTAAAAGGCACATGATACATTAGCCTAGAATTATTTATTAGTGCTTCCCAGAGTTTTCCATGTTGCCAGAGTCAGTTATACACTTGAATACTTAAGTTCACCCATGAGATACTATAACTGCTAGTGCAATACAAATTAACGTAAAGTGCAACATGATACTGTGTGACCAGTTGCTACTGTGTTAAATTTAGCTGTGGACAATTTACAGGAAAGACTTTCTTCACTTGATACTTGCAAAGTACTGCAAAGTGGCTAATATCATGTCAGGAATGTGAATTTCAAGCCAGGAGGATTATTTTGTTACAAATTAAATTATGTTGTAGGTTTTTTCTTGTTTTTTTCCAACTTTTGCCCACAGCTCTTTATAACAAGAATATTGCATCCTTAGGATTAGCTTATAGTTCCATATTCCTATAAGAAACACTGTATGTATTTGAATCCAAGGCAAGATATTTTGCCCCATTCAGCATGGGAATAAAAGCCCCTTATACTGGAAGGAAAGACAGCAGTGGCTGAGGATGGTGAGGAGGCAAGTGGTATGGGGGATAGGTACCAAGGGCTGCAGGCATCATGGGAGGTAGGTGCCATGGGGTACAGGCATGAGGAGGGGCAAGCAGGGAAGGCAGATGTCAGCAGGGGGCAGTTGCCAGTGTGTGCAGGTAGCATGAAGGTGGGGAGGCAAATGGTGGGGGATGACAGGGGGCAAGGAGCACGCAGCTAGGGGCAGGCAGCAGGCTACTTGGCTCTCCTACCACCTGCCCCCCTGCCACTGGTTGCACTGCCGCAGTGGCGGGGGAGTGGGGATAAACATAAGATGGCCCTCCAATAATTAGATTCTAGACAGAGAAAATTATAACAAATGTTTACATTTTCCATGTCTAGAATCTAATTATTGGGTGGTCATTTAAAATTCATAATTATCTTGGGTTTGGGTAAATATGGTAAATTATACATGGTAAGCAAGGTTCTTTGGGTAGATGGCATATCTTTTATTAGACCAACTGAGTAGTTGGAAAAAAGTTCTTGCAAGCTTTTGGGCTCAGTCACCCTTCTTCAGGCATAGGGACTCTCTCCTATACTGAGACTCCAAGAAATGACAGAAGCTAAAAGTGTGGCAGGGTGTCAGTGAGAGTGTAAATAGGTAGAAACTGGAAAGGTAAATGGAGAGTGTAATTTAATTTCTACCTATTTACACTCTCACTAACACCCTGCCACGCTTTTAGCTTCTCTCGTTTCAGGGAGTCTCAGTACAGCAGACTCCCTATGCCTGACAAAGAGTGACTGCACCCGAAAGCTTGCTAAGAACTACTCAGTTGGTCTAATAAAAGATATCACATCTGCTCAAAAAACCTTGCCTGCCTATGTCCTTAGACCAACATGGCTACAACCAAAAACCCAACAACTTATATGGTGTCACCCATATAAGGTAGCTATTTTTAAAAAATGTCATTATTTGAACAGCATTTAATCAGTCACCGTCTCAAAGATCAACTTGCAATTCAACATTGTATCAGGACTGTATTTTATCGAAAACTAGAGACAAGGTATTAAGAATTTAATTTTTAACTGATCATAAACTAGATAACAGATGTACTTTGCCAAGGTAGGAAGTTCAGCTAACAGTAAGCCTCAACCTTCTCCCATTCAACATTATCCACAGTTTTCTATCCATTGCCATGGGAACCAGGATTAAGATGTGTATCAGAGACTTTTAATTTCAGTGGTTCAAATCTATTTTATATGCCTAATGACTGAAAACCATTAATTTCTGACAGCTGCTTAGCGGTTGATGTAAACTTTGTTTAGTGGTCCTACTGATACTTGGTAATATCACAAAATCTACTGTCACAGTTGGCACATGCATAGATTGTGTCAACACAGAAATGAAGGATTGGATGGATAAAAGATTTTAAATAACTAGAGTGAGTCCTTCTAAATGAAAGTTTGAAGCATATTGGCAGGGCAGTCTGGTGAATTTTGTATTGCTACTATCCATTGCTTTGGTTGTTCTTTGGAGAAAGAGAGCTATTAAGCTAGCACCTTTTATGGGTATTGATTACTTTTTAATGGCAAAGTAATTAATTTAAAAATAATTTCTGTAAATGAAGAGGCTACAGCAGTGGACTCTCACATGACCAGTCAAAAGTTTCTATAATGTAATAATATGGAATCCCTTTGAGAATCACATTTTATCATATCTTATAGGAGGAGATAAACTTCGTACATGTGTTCTTCGCCCACCAGGCATCTATGGGCCCAAAGAGCAAAGACACCTGCCACGAATAGCAGTATGCATTTTATTTTATTTGATTAATAAAATATTCCATTCTGTACATAATAGAATTAGTAATCAATTGTGTTACAGAGGTAACTGCTTTTAACTTTTCAGACCTTATAATGTAGAACATGGGTTATTTAAGGGGGAAAATTATCTTTAAAAAATGTTCAGTAAATATAAACAGAGACTTTAAGTCATTCTCTATCACAAGCAAATATTAATCCAACACATGTATGTTGATTTGATATAATTTAATACTTGTACTGTAATTATACAGATTTGGGTGTATCTATGGTATTTCAAACTTCACTTTGCAACTTATACACAAAAGTGTTAAAATATTAATGAAATGTGATACAAGGAAAATATCTTATTTCCATCATCAACCTTTAACAGCTTTCATTATCCAATGAAACAGGCTAAGGAGCCCGAAACACTTTCTAGTACAATAGGTTACTAAAGGGTAAGCAGTCCAGGTGCTCATGTTTACTATTTTTTACTAGCTCTGTTTTAAATTGTTGGCTTAGTACAACGTTTAGAAGACAGTGTGCACATGGTCACCTGAGTCTGCTGTTTTAAGGGCATCATGACTATTTAAAGTTACCTAACCCTTTGAATAAGGAATAGATTAGACCTGGTCAAATAAACTAGTTTTTGCCTAAACCAAACCAAAAATAAAAGATAGGCGTTGTTTTTACATTGGGTTGGGAGTTTTTTTGGATGAAACAAACATTAATTTTAGGTCAATCCAAATGTTTTGTCTGATATGAGATGAAGTGTTCTTGTTTCATTTGAGGTTATGTAATCCTTTAAAAAACCCGTGTTCTTTTAAAAAATATAGATCAATTTTTAAGTGACAAATAATATTTTGAAATTAAAAATAAGAATGTTTTGTTTTGAAAATCTCAAAATGAAATGTTTCAGAGTTTCCAAATTGAAATAATTAGGTTAAAAAAAATCTTCAAACAAAATGTTTTGACATTTTCAAAATCCCTTTTCCCTTCTTTATGCCCCAAACTATTAGCCAAATTCAGCCCAATTTGTGAGTAGTTCATAGCTGTATTTTTTCCAGTGGATTTAGTATTGATCAAAAGAAAATTTCATCCAGCTCTAGGATTGATCTGTATTTTTCACAAACACAAGAAAAATTGTACTAAAATGCAGAAGTCAGGCATGATGTCTGACTGACAGCTTTGGGAAAGAACATCAGCTGTCTGTTCCATGGGGCAGGTAAAAAAGGGCAAAGCTGCCTTTCCAAATTGCATTAATCCTGATATAAAGATGTTACCTTCTGTGTGAAAGAGTAATTTGCTCGTATACAACTGGGTCAAGGTAACTAAAGAACTTCGTGTCAGAAGTTACGAGACGCAACTAATCATTTCAATAAAAATGTGAATATAGCCCTGAAATATTGTTTGTGTAAAAATGTGGCATAAAAAACATAGAGTACCGTGACAAAGTTTTGTTGCATTCATATAAAGTGATTACGTAAAGTTATGAGTAGCATAACTCTTCCTAAAATCTTGATACTAAACTTTTCAGTGACACCATCCTATCATGTATATCTGCTGTATGCCACATATATGAAATGAATGATGGGGTGCTGGGATGTTTATTTAATTGCAACAGTGTCGGATTAAATGTATGTATGTACAGTTAGCTGCATGCACTTACTATGGTTGTTTCATTTTTTTCTTTCTTCTCTTTCTGTTTTCTGCTTCTTGAACTGTGCTCTTCATTGTGCTTTTTTAACTTAAGGTATGTTTACTCTTGTTTCTTTAACCTCATTTTGTTGTTGTTGGTTTTGGGGTTTTTTTTGCTTTTCCGCTTCTCTGTTTTTTCAGTTCAGTACTTTTTAAAATATTGACTTCTTTATCTCCATCATTTTTCTACATTTTTCCTCTTACTCCAAGACTCTGTTCCAATCCTTTTTCATATCAGTATCTTATTTTTCACTCGTTTCCCTTTGACGGTCCCCTTTTTTCTCTCCTCCCCCCATTTTCTCTCATATTTCCCCTTTCCCAGCGACAATATTCATCTTTCCTTTTCCTAGATTTTCTCCCCTCTGGTCCTCACCATCGTTTTCTTTGTCTTCCCTCCTATACTTTCTTTTGCCTCAAAACCCCTCACCTCAGAGCCCCTCATCATTCCCCTCACACTCTCCAAATCTCCCACTCTTCCTTCCTTTACCTCCTAACTCCTTTCTTCCTTCCTACCTCCAGCCACACAAGCTAACCCTTTCTGTTTCAATATTCCCTTATCATTTTTTCCTCTCTAGGAACATTTCTCCTCATTAATTTTCATGTCCCTGCTTTCCATATCTCTGTACCCCTTCCCCTCACGTCTCCCGGAAATGCTTGACAGCCCTTTCCCGGTTAATTCTCTGAACACACAATGCATCAAAACTACCTCGCGTTCCTTGAGCCCAGTCCAATGTAACTAAGACTGCCTCGCTATTTCTCCCTGCGTCGGGTGCCTATAAAGCACTCGTATTAATATTTACTCAGCCTTTCTCACCATTGTATCTGTATGGTTCCCAGACAGGCATGGATTTATAGCCACAAAACTTTACCAGGTAAACGAAGTGCTTGTCCAGATTCCTCATGTGGGGATTTAAGGCGGATGCAAGCAAGCTGTGTGAGGTGGCCCAGGGGAGAGTAAAGCCTGGGGTTCCTGAGTCCCAGTCCAGCACACTGAATATCAGACCTTTCTTCTGCCCTCTCACTCCTTTCCAGTTATCCTCTGTTTCCTCTCATTTTGCACTCAAGAGTTACCCTTTTTCTCACAAAATCCTCTCTGCCCTTCTTTCCCCCAGACTCCATCAGTCCTCCCCTCATTCTTTCCCATCTAAGCCCTAACCATCTTCCTTTTCTGTCCCCAGCCTGCTCTTATTTCCTCTTCTCCTCAACACCAGACTCCTTGTCCTCCCAAACCTCCTCTTTCCCTCTCCCTTATTGTTCCTCAAAAGCCCTCATTCCCACAAGCCCTAGGGCTCTTCCACCTTCACTTCCCCTCAAGCCCTTTCACTTTCTTCATGGTGCTCAAGCTCTGCTTCATTTTCCTTTCATGAACCCTCAGATGCTTCCTCCCTTGGTGAATCCCAGATCTCCATACTCTCCTCCTTCTGTCCCACTCTCAGACGCCCTCATATTCCCCCAGCCTTTCCTATATACATTGCGTGCCCCTGTCCCCACCCCACTGAGGCACTTCTTGACTTTCCCTGCTGCTCCTTCTTTCAGGGCATGTGATGTACAGTATACCTCTGTGATAACTACAGCCACGCTGTATTGTGTCTGCCACCAAGGCCAGGAGGGGGTGTCCTGGAAGGGCTGCTGGGCTTATCCCACAAAACGCCCAGCTTGGCCACTAGTATAAGGGAAGTAGCAAGGGGAGTGTGGGAAAGGGGCCCCGAGTGCCTCCAAAACATCGGGTCTGCCACTAGCTATTTTCCATTTTGAATTTAAGCTGTTTCAGTTGGACTGTTCTCGGGAACACTTCATAGAACCTGCTCATGAAAGCTAAAAAGCCCACAATTTTACCAAACTCTTTTTGGCTTTTTATTGCAAAGAGTAAATCAAGTGACAGACCTGCTGTTCCTGTTGGACATGCCATAACTGGTACCAAAGCACCTGCCACTTGTATATGAACATGAAGAGAGTGGCAAATGTTCAAAGTATTTTGCTGATATTAGACCATTTATATATTCATATGCCAGATCCTATAAAACTGGCTTCTTTCTTTCAGATCATCCACACAAGTCCAAAACCTAAAGAAAAAAAGTAGGCGCCTAGTGTCAAATAGGAATATGAAATACCTATGTTCAAAATTAAATGTTTTTTGTTCTCACAAGGTTAAAAAAAAATAAAATATGACTTGGGTCAAACCAAACATTTAATTCAACCTGAAATTAATTTTTGTCTGTCATATTTGGGCTTTTTAAACTTTGTATTTAATGATAGGTATTTTGAAAAGTTAAATGGTATGTAGGTATTCTGAAAATCCTAGCCCTACTGTATTTTGGAAAAAAGGGTTTGAATAACCACTTTAACATAAGGGGCAGAAGGTCCAAGTGCTGGATACTCTCAGCTGTTGATTTTTTTAAAATGTATTGTATTGCATTAAACCAATTTTTTCATCTTAATCATCAGTACTTTGTAATGCATAACAGTAGATCTCTCTAACACTATGTCAGGATTCATGTTTAGAAACAAGATTTAATTTTATTATGCTAAACCAATTGGAAAAGGCGTGCTGCCTAATATAAAAATCTCTCTTGCAGTAGTCTCTGTTTTTTTTGTTTCCACAGCGGAATATTGAAAGGGGTTTTTTTCGCTTCAGGTTTGGGGAGCCCACTGCTCAAATGAACTGGGTTCATGTAGAAAATCTTGTACAAGCTCATATTTTAGCTGCTGAAGCGCTCACCTCTGAAAAGAACTATATAGCTGTAAGTAAAAAAACAAACCCAGCAACAAGAACAAGAAAAGCAATGCCCTGTCTAGTCTGATACAGGTTTAAAATTAAAATAGCTATAGTAGGAATATGGTGCTACCTCTTAATGTTTGTAAAGCGGTCCTTTGGCGAATGCTCTTTGCCTTGCTATGTTGCCATGCCAGGTTGGCACCAGATACATATTTTTAATTAAATTATTCACCCCACAGTCTCTCCCAAAGAGAGGGTATTTATTATCTCTGTATCAGGTGTAAAGGCACAGTATGCAGCTTGGGGCACTGTTGCAGAGCACTCGGGTGCCCTGCGCCTAAAAGCAGAAATGGCTCAGGAGAGACCCCTAGTGGTGACAAGGGGGAGGCTCAACTGCCAGTCACCAGGGCAGCACAGGTGCTGGTTGCTAGGGGAACAAAAGGAATCAGCTGACAGGAAGGGGCAGGGCTTGGCCCCTTCTTAAGCCCAACCATGAGGCCAGGAGAGCAGTTCCCCTCTGGCGGCCAAGGAGGGGGGAGTTCAGCCAGTGCAGAGAGAAAGGAGAAGATAGACTGCATGAGCATCCCCTGGTTGCGGCTATGAGTTGGAGTATTTTCCCGGTAGGGATAGAACATTGTTTTGACCAGACGGTTTAGTTTTATGTTACAGCCTAGGGGCTTTATGTTTTTTTGTGTTTACTGTTTTAACCGGAG